AGTCCCGGTTTACACCTAGGCATTTTTTAGCAGTTTAAAGTGTGCTTAAAAATGCTCCACACAAGAAATCCCATGATTTTCAATGGCCCCTGCGCACACCGGAGGAGCAGAACGCAGAAAAAAGTACATGAGCTTCTTTTGGCAGTTTGCAGTTCGTTTTCCCCCATAGACTTCAATGGAAATGCCAGGAAACATGTCACGTGTTTCCTGGCGTTTCCATTGAAGTCTATGGGGGAAAACGAACTGCAAACTGCCAAAAGAAGCTCATGTACGTTTGTCCATTGACCGCAATGTCTCTCAATCTTCCAGCTAAAATGTGCATCTTCATGTGCATGCGTCTAACACGCGCAAAAAAATGTGCAAAAGAAACACTAGAAGGAAACGTGTGTGAACCAGGACTTAGGGTCACACCTTGATCTACATATGAAATTGTAAATGCAATGAAAGCATGTAGGGTTACATTGTATTAACTGGATGACACTTGCAGACTATGTGCAAGTGTCCTTTAACACGGGCTGCATTTTGACAGCCAATTCTTCTGTGTAATGCAAAACAATTGCCAGCTGTCCTTTTCATAGCTAGTAATAGTGGCGGGGAGAGGAGCTGGACAAAAGAGATGCGTGCCGAAAACTTTGAAGTCTTTTTGGAAAACCTCAGTTGTTTAAAAAAAAAAAACATTCACCCAAATTTACATGTTAGTTGTAAACTCTTCTCACTGATTAGTTGGTTGGATCCCCTAGCTCTCTCCATGTTGGGAGGAGGGCACAGCAAGCGTGGGCGGGTGCAATAGCCAGCCTGCTATTGCAATTTGAAATGGCTATTGCACCAGCCCACTACCTGCTGTATTTACATTCAGCTGCCGTCTGCGGAATCTTGCCGCTGGCAGCTGTCATTCTCTGGCTGAAGCTATGCATGTGCTTACAATTCAATTCATAAAAAAATTATAAGGTGGGGCAAAAAGTTATTTTCGGTTTAGGTTTGACAAATTCTGCTGCAGGAGGTGTGTTGCAGTGCCATTCATTTCAATGGCACCCCAAGCGCGCCTCCCACCCACAGTGTGATCGCCCGCACTTGAATGCATGGTACCGCAATGGCGTGTGTTCCAGTACAGTACGATTGCAAAAAATGTGAAGTAAACTTTGTAACACTGTATTTGTGTATTTTTTAAAAAAAATGAAGGCTGGTATTTATTTTTTATCCGATTTAAAAAAAAAAACAAATCGGCCAACCAATTATGAAAATAATCATCAGTTGCAGCCCTACTGAGATATACATATTGTAAGGCTGCTAAGGTGAGGGATGATGAGAAAACTTACCATTTTTCTTTCTGTCAAAAACGAAAATAGATATTGAAGTAGAAAGAGAATGTGATGCATAGAGTGAGGAAAATAATGATTTGACCCCCTGCAGATTTGGTAAGTTTGCCCACTTACAAAGAAATGAAAGGTCTATAATTTCTATCATATGTGCATTTTAAATGATAGAGACAGAATATCAACCAAAGATCCAGAAAAAACACATGATACA